CGGGAGAAACGATAAAAACAAAGGTCACAAATTTTCCGTGCATATTCGATCAAATTAAACTTAATATGCAGTCTGTACAAGCTTTGCTGAAATTGCATTTAACGTACTCTTGCTACGCTTGGATATGGAGTATATATGCAGCGTGACAATTGAAATCTTTATCAAGAAAACATGGGAAAGGATATTTAGTTCTACTGCCTTAAGCTAAAAGGTGTGTTCTATTCCATATGAAATAATCTTAACTTATTGTATCTTAGGGAAAACTTGTTGAAAGTTATTTAGATACTTTTTACAGAAAGAACACTTCTTATATTCTTATTGTAATCGATATTTATTAATTAATGTCTGTGCATATGTGCAGTATTATGTATATTAGTAAATTGCCACATATATAATGCTTCATACTACATTGTACTCTAGTACTTACCACACGTTCTTTATTGTTTTATCACCCATACATGGTTATATACCAGATTTAATACTTAATTTGTGTCAATCACATCAATAATTTCAATTCAGATTATCACTTTTTTTGTGTCATGGGTCTGTTTTTACCCAACAATGTATATTTGTTCTGTATATTAACTTGGACATCATTTTTAAAAAAATATTGGAAAAAAGTGATGTGTATTTTAGTATGCATCAAAAAAGTCACTTAAATTATAATTTTATAAACACAACAGTCTTCATGAATTCTGCATTTTTCATCATTCCACTGATGGCATGGATAAATAGTGGGTTTATGATTTTGATTGTTCTTTGTTTCTTTTTTCAAATGAATATAAAACAGGTCATTGTTTCATATTAAATATAAAACTTTAGACTAAATAGTAGTCTATTGACATGTATTGTGCTAAGAGGGCAGTGCATTTGTTCAAACTGTAGAGAGAGTGAAAAGCACAATCCCAAATGAATATAGTGGATGTGATATGATCTACGTAATGTCTATTCAAGGTCTGTTGACCTCTGTCATATTTTTCTACTGTCTCAATAAATTCTATATAACTTTCAAATTTTTATTTTTATTTCAGATTTCAACTTTCATTTGGTTATTAAAAACAGTTCAAAGGAAATGTAATAGCACCAAAACAATCTGTGTTTATCTGTATATGGTTTCATATTATTCAAAATTGACAATCGATAAAGCGTTAAAAGGACGTAGATACTATAATTGATTTCGCTCCAATACTCGGCCAAAATATTTACTTTCCGGTACGATTTAATTACTTTTATTTGCTTTAAAAGTCCGAACATATCTTATGGCCGAATTTGAATCCGTATTTTTCAATCCAAAAATCGATGTTGGATAACAAAACTTGCATTGATTTTTACCCCACCCAGGCCCCCTACCCCCAAACTATTTGAATTATGTTTTTTATCCGACATCGATCTTTTGATGTCGTCCCTATTAAATTAACACATGGTAGTCAATGAACTGGATATACGATATTATTATGTATTACGATGATGATTATCAGGTAAAACAATTGTACTTGATATTCAAATACATGTATGTAAACTATGGGAGTTGAATTAAAGTGGTAGTAATTAATCATAGGCCACCGTACGTCCTTCATACACCGGCAATTAACGGCCCCGGCATGAAAAAACGCGTAACAGTTCAAATGAAAAAACTAACGGCATAATTTGTAACAAACCAATTTACAAAAATACAATTTGAGAGACATGAACCAACAACAACCAATTCAATACATGTTCCTGATCCGGGACAGCGATTTGATTTTGATTTTTGGTGTTTTAACGCCACTTTTAAGCACCGCTTTTGGGCTATTTCGCGGCGGCCAGTTTTTATTGGCGGAGGAAGCCGGTGTGCCCGGAGAAAACCACCGACCTTCTGACAATCCTAGTCAATTAAGATTGGAGTCGAGTGCACCCGCACGAGCGGGGTTCGAACTCACAACCTCAGTGTTGACTGGCTAGTGATTACAGTAGTAACTACTTATACCACTCGGCCACCGAGCCCCCCCCCCCCCCCCCCTTCCCCCCCGGTCAGCGTTGTAACACCACAACATAAGAACAAATTGTAAAAATCGTTGCAATTGACTTAAATCTGAAGATCAGTACGAGCAACAAAAACCACTAACATAAAAACAATAGACACAAAGCACCGAATTAAGAATACTCGCAATCACTAAAAGCTAGTTCAAAGCCAAATACAACTAAAAGATAAATCACGTTCTTCAAAAGTATCAATCACTACACATCCAACGGATTTAGTGTAAAGACGTCATAAACAGTTTGAGATACGCACGACCTAGTGCAATGCCAAACTATAAGTAAACAGTGTCGACAGGATAAAGGATCACAAGTAGTCATATATGTATTTATATAAATATAATAAATGCCTAAGAATGTAACTTCAACACGCTAATGAGTGTTATAAAAATGATTGTTATATTTTATATATTCACGCAATATTTCGCTATTTATGTCAGGATTTCTATGACAGGGTTGTTGCACTAGTAAATAGATTTTAGTCCTAAGCGGCTTTTTTTTTATCTTTACATCATCTGAAATGTCTAAAACCAAAGATGTTAAGAGTATAAGTTATTTACTGGATATTTTCTTGTTTGTAAATTCAGATCTGTTCAGACAGATATCAAGTCAATCCAATATTGCTCAGAAGCCTTCAATTCAGTATGGTTTTTTTTTTGGCAAAGGGAAGTAACGAATACGGAAGAGTCTGTAAATAGGCTGAACAGATCTTGATTTACCTCCTGCAAATTGTTATGGAAATGGAGTGAACGTGACTAAATAATGTATTTTTCAGTCTTAAAAGAGTTTTTCATATCAAAATGGCCGTGTCAGTCCAAAATTGGTTTACTAAACAGCTTACAATAAAGATAATGAACCAAGAATTCCAAGTGGTAGAGTGGAAAACATTAAAAGTTTTATTGATTAAAACATGATTTGGTTGACCGTTGTGAAAGATTTCTATCACAGATGACAATGATATGTCCTAATTGTCGTAACCACAATCCTGCCTTTCGATTATAATATCACCGAATAAGACTTATCACATAATTTGTAATTGCCCTCAGATATAAAACAAAGATTATGTATGATTGTAGCATGTGTAAATAAAACAACTACCTTTCAAAGACCGAATAACTAAGATATACTAGTTTCGCAATACACTTTTTGCCATTATATAAAAAAAAAACATGATTATAAATATAACTTCTCAGTAGTACATTATAAAACATTTGTGTAATGCTATAATGTAATTGTTGATTGATTATTTAATCTAAATGAATATTCCCTACTGAAATGTTTGATAAAAAAGATAAGTTAAATCAAAAGAAAAAGGAATGAATAAACTTTGTAAAAATCTTTGATCTCAGTATTGTGGTAATAAATGTAATGGTCAAAATGAATTTGTTAATGCATCTTGTACTGAATTGCTCCAATTGAACTCATAATTATTCGTTTTAAAGTTAGCTTACAAAACAGTTTAATTATATCTGATTCATTTTGAATGTTTAATGGACGTATACATTTGTGTAATTATTTTGACAGCATATGGTTAGGAAAAGCAATCGTTATAGTGTCATTTAAGTATTAGTTTCCAGGACATCAGCTTAAACTGAGGCTTCTTCTAACACATGTTCGTTATATAAATATAAATCTAAGCGACACACTTTAATGTGTAATACTATATGAACATTTCATATTTTCGAAAATTTGGGAATATTTACATAAGAACACTATCTTTCGCATGGCCATTTATTTAATAGTTGACTAGCATACATATTTATTTTTTAATATAATTTTGAAATAACGTGGTTGTCACGTTTCGCTAATCATTGGAATTCCATTTGGCATAAACATTTTTCCTGTAGAAAAGTGATAGTATGTCTTGTTGTACCTTCCAGTCGATAGCACGTTGACATTGCGTTATCCAATCGTGGTCAAATTAGCTTGACAATGAGTGCACATGTTCATGATGATGAGAATGTTAAACAAAATATTAGAATTTTGACCCAGAATTATTGGTTGACTGATCATGGTAATATGATAATACGTGACAGGTTATAATTGCTGGTTAAGGAAGTTAACCATCAAGTTGTAGAAATTAAGTACATTTTCGATGTAAACGTTTTACAGAATATGCCGAATCACGATCATGCTGGTAAAGGATAACAGAAAATGTGATCGAAGTTGTTGTCCACTCAAACTGTAGGATGTGGTTTGATTGATAATCTGGGGAAATATGACTTGTTCCTTATTTCTAAGATGCTATAAACCAGATTTCAGTAACCACGACTACTCTTAGTTCAATTATTTGTGTTACTGTTGTTTTTTTTTTTTTTGTTTATTGTGGTTTGTGTTTCACGACAATCTGATAAGCCAAGTCTTGTCCCAGTGATTTTAATATTTGGGTCTTTTGTGGTGTTGGTGGCCATTTTCCTAGTGTAGGGGATGTGTTCAGTGCTCTCAAACATGATTACCTCTGGCATAATTCTGTATGTTCTTAATCAGCAGTCTGTAATTTATTAGTTGTCGTTAGTTAAAGTCTGCAGTATTTGTTTCCCATTTATTCGTTTGATTTACCGACTATGTCCTATTTGCTACTGTCACATTTTGACTGAGCTTGGATTCGGTTATGTTTGTTGCATGTGTAGTTGAAGACGGTGAAAAAGCGGACATTTGTTTAGTGAAAATTGCTAGTAAAAATTGTTGATTTTTTTTTTAGATTAATGAATGTATCTCCCTCAAGCAAAGCTCTGGTATAATAATATTGGTACCATGTATCTAATTACCTTGCTCCTTTTGGGATTATTTTAGTTCCCAACGGTTTTGTGTTATAACATAGATGTAAGGTTCAGAATTATTTTTTTTTTAATTCAATATCAATAAACTTGCCTCTAATGTATCGTAATTATTGTCCTTTGCCTATCCGGCGGATAGTTGTCTCATTGGCGATCATACCACATCACCTTTAATTTATATGTAAAAAAGAATGAATAAAATAAAATCTAATTAAAAATGCATTTTTCTTCACTGACATTCGGTTTATTGACTTCTGAACATAGATTACCTAGATAAAACCATCGCTTAGGTCTCGCTGTTCTCAAACTTTTATCGTCAAAGAATGTTTGAATTCGTATTCTTGGCTGAAAAAATAATTTTGCTGAATACATTGCATACAAGATTTGCTGATCAGAGTTCATCAATTTCATTTTAAGTAAACTTTCTACGGCCATTTTATAATCCTCTATGAACAATGAAAGATATTCTGGTCTTCCAATGAAAAGTCCATCAGCTATATAATATTTAGTTTGATACATAATGTCCTTGAGAGTTAAGTTTGAATTGAAAAAAGCTACTTGCGAAAATGAAATATGATCATCTTTCATACTTTTTGGCGGTTTCATTTGAAAGTAGTCAGGTCTCATTCTTCTAAGATAGCCTATATCAATCCATGCAAGATATTTCGTCGTAAATATTTGTTCTTGTATTACTCTTCCGGTCAATTCATACTTAGCATGCATTGCAGATGAATAAGCGGGTCGACCCGGAATTGGGTATCCTTTTTGGTTGTAAATCTCTTTGATTCGTGGTTGCAAACCAAAAGCCCAAAGACTTGTTTGATTCAAAATGAATGCCTTAGTCATATGGATTGGGAAATGTCTACGATATAATTTGAACTGCACTGATAAATCAATTTGATCCGTATAAAGAATAACACAGTTGTTCACTGACTGAAAGCCTTTCATCCAATTGTTATATGTGCTTTTAGAAAAAATTAAATTTGGAGTTTTTTTAAATGACCTTATGTTAAAATAAGCTGTAACTAATGTTTATTCGTTTCCATTGACGCTGTGTACTTGATTTGCATGACCCGACAATTGAATTTCCATTTTGTGCTTGACATCTGAAACATATTAATGCTGCCATATTATAATTATGCATGCACCATTTTCGCCAATGTTTCTATGTTTGTGTAGTATACTGGGTGGACCTATTTTCATTACCAATTTTGATGGTTGCTTGTAGCAAGAAAACCAAGAGTTCCAAGTGGTGAATCTGCTTACCCTTATACAGAACCTGAGATCACCCTAATCTCTATTGGGATTCATGATGCTCTGTCTTTAGTTTTCAAAGTTGTGTTTCGTAAACTGTGTTGTTTGTCTTTTGGTCGTTTTCGGTTTTGCCATGGCGTTTTCAATTTGTCCTCGACTTATGAGTACACGAAGGTAAATAGTGACCTGCACAAATGATTGGCACTTGTGCATCGGTTACCTCTGTTAGAAATAATTTTAGATGACCTTAATTGTTTAAAAGGTTGTCTCGAAAGAATGCCGTTTTAAGAGGTGACTCATGATTGGTATTGTGTATTGTGTAGCGGTAAATTGTGTATCATGCGGTGGAATATCAGTGAAAAGTTTAACACCTCCGTTATGAATTTTTTATTAAAAATAAACATTGTTGGTAATCGCAGGCGTTTTTGGCAAATACTTTTGAATGATTTGTATCATGTTTTATTCAATTAGTAAAAGGTATATTGTATTGTGTAATTCATGCTATTGTATAGAATATGGTTTAAAGGGGACAAGTATAAGTTGGGAAATTGCACGAATCGGGGAGTGTTGGATACCGGAATATTCTTCTGATATGTAAATTAACAGATTTCATTTCGCTATATTTTCAATGTCTGGAAACAGAGAACGCTTACCTTATTAACGCGACCAGGCGAATTCAATTTCCTCGTTACCTCTTAAAATGGTATATCGCCAAGACGTCATGTTAAACCAATCTATTTATTATTTCTAGTTGGGATAGGATCAGTGCAAATGGATTTGTAGTGACATTTTACCGTATTATTCAACTTTTTTTTAAGTTTAATTTCTTTACTAATGTACCATCGTTTTTGCACTTGCAGTTGAATATCAAAGTCGGGTGACAAGACTTTATGGCTCTAATGGAACAATATTACTTCATCAATATTTTAAATAATAGATAAGGTTTTTTTTCACTCGGTTGTAGACTACAAAAAAAGTGCCACAACCTTTGAATGTGAGGTTAAAGGTAAATAGCTCAATTTAAAATTTTTTTGTTAATTTTAATGATTAAGTATTGAAAATAGATGAGATAGTATTAACGTTGTATGAAATGCATTTTACTAAAAATAAGTTTACAATTTAAGTCATTTCAGTTAAGTAACTATTTATCAAATTATAAGTTATTCTAAACATTAAGGTTTTACTAATCCATGCTTTCTCGTTACATTATATTCTTTTTTCAAATATAAGACAACAGAACACTACGCATAACAGTAATGAAGGAAAAAGAAGAATCAAATAAAATTCATGTTCTTCACGGATATGACTTGTTTTCGGTAGTAGGATTTAAACGAGAATAAGAGTGACGGACTTATTATTGAGACAAATAAAAAACATACGGTGTCATATGTGATGTTCCTTAAGCTCAGTTTATCAATTATATCTCATATGCGATAACCAATGCATATACATATTTAATTTTGTTTTAACTAGATTTTGAAACTAGAATCTTTCATTCTAAAATCAGTTGTGTGTTTCTAAATAAACATCATTACCAATGAAATTAATTCACAGCCAACAGGGCATATTGTACAGATAAAAAGTAAAATATAAGTTAAACATTTCAACAAGGTAACACGCTATCATATTTTATAAACTTGTGATTGTATATAATTTTAATATCGGAACGATACCCGATAATCCGAAAATTAGTGCCAGTTTTTGAATGATTATACAAATGTGCATACATTAAGCGGTCTTTTTGGCAATCATACCACATCTTCTTATTTTAAAATTTATTATCACAAATAAAGGTACGATTTGCTTAGGTAATTGTTAACGATAAATATGTGACTCCATTTGACGCAAACGATAACTGAAATGCGATGTGCAAATTCACAATAAAAAGATAATTGTAGAGAAAGAAGCGCATTTCATAGCGAATGAAAAACCATTCCCACCATCCCGGCTGTCAAACTATTTCACGATCTCGATATATTTGCGAAAGTTGAACATCTTGTTTATGCTTTGACATATAATAAGTGTGTTTTAGTCTGGAATAAAATGGTTTATTGAATATATCAGTTGAAATTAGGCTTTGGAGTCGCATTCAGTTATTCCGAAAATTCTAAGATCAGTACTGTGTGTCTTTTAATTTTGTGTCCTTTGGGTTGTTTGGTGATTTGTGCCAATTTGATAAGTCTAGGTCTTTAAAATTGATTTGACAGTTTGTATGTTGTTACACCGCTGACCATATTAAGGAGAGGGTTACGCTCTCCCGAATATAATAAACCCCACGCCATTTATAATTTGCCTGTCCAGAGCCAGGATAAAATATTTCAATAGATTTCGTTGGGCGCTGACTATATACAAATAAGGAAATTTGATATAATTACCAATGATACAACTAACCACCAAAGTTCAAATAAAGTGGATGTAAGCCATTGTAGGCAATCGTACGGCCTTCAACAATGAGAAAAAGCCATACCGAATAGTCTGCTATAAAAGGCCTCGACATATAAAATATGAAACAATTCAATTGAGAAAACTAACGGCCTTATTCATATCAAAACAAGTACGAAAAACAAATATGACAGACATGACCCAACGATAACATTGGAAATATAGGCACCTGACTAGGGACAGGCATATACAAAATGTGGCGGGGTTAAACATGTATGCTGGCGCCACACCCTCCCCTAATCTCAGACAGTGGTGTTACAATACAACATAAGAACAAACTATAAAATCAGTTGAAAAGTGCTTACTCATCAGATCGATATAAAGTAGAAAAACACATCTAACAAAACCTGAGACGGGATGGGAGAGAATGTATACATCCCTCCTTACAAAAAAGATGCAAATTACAGACCTAAGAGTACTCCCAGTTACTGACAGCCTGTTCAATTACAACTAGTAAAACAATCATGTATATAAGACTGAAATATCAATCAGTACACATCCAACAATCAATGGAGTTTGTGTAAAGATGTCATTAACTGTCAAATCTTGTGCAATGCCAAAGTATAGGTATCTACAGATCGCAGAACCGTGAATATGCATATGTATAACAATAATATTTAGTAAAGTTGTTTACTCTTTCTGTTGCAGTTTTTATCAAAATTCTATTTTTCCCTTTGCAATATTTCTCCATTTTGTAATTTTTTATATATCCTTTTACAGTATTTGTTTTGATCATGACTAAAAAGCCTACGATGACTTATAATTTTGCACATCGGTATGCCCTGTGGTCTGATGGATAGACTTATCCTTGTCAATCGTACCATATCTCCTAATTTTTCTTGTATTTGTGATCCTTAGATAAATAAAGCATTATTTGGACAAATATCATCTTTCCCCTTTACTCAAAGTACATACCTTGGAATATGTTGATGTTGATCAGTCGAGGCAAATAGGAAATACCATAATATTATGAAAAAGCATAATTCTACTTACATCTTGTGGCAAATTTGAGTTATCTTTCTTAGACTCACCCTGACAATTAAGACATGGGAGATAACAACTTTTGTCTTAAAGGAAGTTGTAAGGAAGATAACTTAATAGTATCATAAGTATAATTAGGATACAACATAAATTTGTAATACTTATCAAGTTTGATAATCCATATATCCATTCCATATCTGTTTTACAATGATTTATTTTTGTACCAATTTATGAATTGATAAGACTTTATCGAATTATCATGATTTTTATAACTTAAATCTTTGCATAGGTTATAGTTTACAATGTTTAATCTCGCGTTCCAATCATATTATGTTTCCATTTTTATTCACAATTGCATGTTTTTGTTGTATAATTCTTTGACGCTATCGGTAAATCTTATCAGTGGTAAAACGGCAAAACCCTCGTGTTTATTTTATTATTATTATCATTATATGCATAAACAAATTTCTGTCTGTTTTTTTCTCGTACAATAACATTTGTTGGAATTGATTGTAATTCAGAAAATATTGCATAGTGCAAGGAGATTTGGTGCCACGATATCTCAGTAGCATGAAGTCTAATCCCGACCAGGGAAGAACAAAAATTTACAGATCCAGCATTGTTGGCCTCACTATATATATATATTCATTATCATCCATGATTAATACAAAGATGTGAAACCGGTTGGTGAAAAAATGTAGAAGATTAAATTTAAGGACTTTAAGAGCATTTTGAAATTTAATTTTATTTCTTTTTCTACTAGTGTGGACGGAGAATTCAATTTTAAGTATTTATATATATATAACTCGTCTAAACATCAGCCCAACAATGTTAGATCTGTAAATTTGCTTTCGCAAATTTTTTGTTCTTCCCTCGCCGGGATTCGAACTCATGCTACTATACAAATCTAAATTGAAAACAACGTTCAAAATTATAATTGCGTTGGATAGACAAAGTATATATATATAGGTAAAAAAAATATAGGAAAAATAAGGGTGAAAATGCACGATATATTCATATTCAATACGAATATTCACATTTTGTCTATTCAAACATCAAATTGTTGAAAAATGTTCCAATAGAATTCTACTGGTTTCACTGCTTAACAAATACTCATGGATGAATTGAATATAAATACTTGGTGCATTTTCAGCCTTAATTTTTCCCCTTTTTTATGCACAGCGTGGACAAAACTTAAAACTTCAATATATATATATTCAATAATATAAGATAAAGAACATTAAGACTTAAACCAAATGTCGGAGTTGAATTTTGTAAATCAACTAACAACACAAATTATCTTTATAACCAATGTTAGTGATAATTTGATATAAGGTCCCAAAACAGATAAGAAAGTGAAGTTTATTAACTATTAGGTTTGGGTTCATTGTTGAAGGCCGTACGGTGTCACCTTTAGCAGTTATTTTTTTGTGTTATTTTGTCTCTTGTGGAGAGTTGTCTCTTTTGAAATCATACCACATCTTCTTTTTTATATTGTATAGTGTATTACGAACTAAAAAAATGAGTAAGAGATATTAACAAGAAATAATATGTAGGCCTAAGTTTAAATAGATACCTAGAATTAAATATACTTTTCTCTGTATGTGTGATATGTAGTTTTATGTAAAAAAAAATGGAAAATGTAGAAACCGTACGTGTTCAACAGACGGAATTGTGTTATAAACTTTATGATGAAATGACTATTAAGTTAAGTGGAGTTTTGTTACACTCTGGATTCTTTAAAGTTTTGACACAACATAATGGAGCTTCAATTCTTCCTTATCATAATCAAACATCCTGTTTGTTAAAAGCGGTACCACAAATAATTACAGTCTTTCGCAAAATTCTACCTTTATCAAGGTTGTGGTTTTGTCTTGAAGGTCAATATCAAGTAATAATTTTTGTAAACTCATTCAAACATTGGAAACCGATGCATAGAATAGCATGCGTAATTACATGGTTGATAACGCCACAAAGATAATACCACAGTATTAGCTATTGATAAAACACACACAATTATACATATGTTACTTAAATGCGTTTAAAAAGGTAGATCTGAAGATCTCGGGGCCACTTACTATGTAATGAGTGGTAGTGATGAGCTAAAATAGGTCACTATTTCATGAAAAGGGTGAGAAAATCAGATTGAATACATCGCGATCGATAGGTTGATATAATCACTTGCTTGATTATATCATAAGTATCTGATACTAATTATATGTCCGTATTTATTTTTGATGCGGCTGCCGTAAATACATCAGCTATTTGTCAAACCAATTAAACTCTATTTACTGAAATCTGGTATTTCCACTGATGCTATTTATAGATGCAATAAATCCGATCATTTTGATATGTGCACCTAATTCACATTAAAGGTTTGTTTACATGAAATATGATAACAATTATTTAAAGAAATTCCTTTGTGACAGCTAGCGTCCTATAGGTTACAATAAACCATTAGATTTTAAATTATTGACTGGGGTCACCTCTGATTAAAAATTGTGAAAATTCAGAGAGAAATGCCAGAACGTTTTGAAGATGATTTTTGTGTGGCATATATATTTGTGCATCTAACGAACTATGAATTGCATGATTCTAGAAAGTATTAAATACCGTATAGGTTACAATAAACCATTAGATTTTAGGGGCGCAGCCGTTTTATGAGCATAACTTGGTATTCAGAATTAAGTGTATAGCTAATCATGATTGGTTGATATGTGCGCCCGTTATTTTTTGACTAGTGTCAAGCTATCCAGCAATTCGCATCCTGCAATTCTTTTGCGATAAAGCTATCCTGCAATTCGTCATCCTGCAATTGCGTTCGAAAAACAACTTGAGTGACAATTTTATTTTTTTCAAAATCATGGTTTTTGACTTGTTTTGTTTGAAAAAAAAGATAAATATAAAGTTTTTTATATCCCATTCACAAATTTCTAGCTTCAGTTAACAAATTTCTAACTCATCTTTACGGTCTATAACTAGAATTTACAATTAGAAAAATCATGACGATTCAAAAAGAGATATATATCTGTGAAGTCCCGGATATGGTTTCGTTTTTATGCATGTTTAAGAATTTCTTGGGTAAGCTTTCTTAAAGGCCCAAAATTTCGTTCGAAACACGGAAATAAAGCCAAATTCGATAAAATACGCTCTAGGGTCACCCACTTTCCAACCAATTGTCTGGGTAGTTCCTTATGGCTAGGGATTAAAGACTCTGCTTCAATCAACAGCTATTATATAGTACTACAACGGGAAGGTAACGAATTTTTGGGGTAAGCTTTCTTAAAGGCCGAAAAGTTCGTCCGAAATATGCAAATAAAGCCAAATACGATATAATACGCATTTCGGTACCCACTTTCCGACCCATTGTTTTGGTAGTTTTTTATGGCTAGGGATTATAGAATCTGCTTCAATGAATAGCTACCGGTATTATAAAGTACTACATTGGGATAGTAGTGAATTTCTGGGGTAAGCATTCTTAAAGGCCGAAAATTTCGTTCGAAACACGGAAAAAAGCCAAATTCGATGAAATACGAATTGAGGTACCCACTTTCCGACCCATTAATTTGGTAGTTCTTTATGGCTAGGGATTATAGACTCTGCTCTGATAAATAGCTATTGGATAGTACTACAACGGGAGGGTAAAGAATTTATGGGGTACGCTTTCTTAAAGGCCGAAAATGTCGTCCGAAACATGGAAATAAGCAAAATTCGATAAAATACGCTCTAGGGTCACCCACTTTCCAACCGATTATCTGGGTAGTTCTTAATGGCTAGGGATTATAGACTCTGCTTCAATGGTTAGCTATTATATAGTACTACATTGGAATAGTAGAGAATTTCTGGGGTAAACATTCTTAAAGCCGAAAATTTCGTTCGAAACACGGAAAAAAGCCAAATTCGATAAAATACGCTCTAGGGTCACCCACTTTCCAACCAATTATCTTGGTAGTTCTTAATGAGTAGGGATTATAAACCCTTCTTCAATGAATAGCTATTGAGTAGTACTACAACGGGAAGGTAAAGAATTTCTGGGGTTAGCTTTATTAAAGGGCCAAAATATCGTTCGAAACACGGAAATAAAGCCAAATTCGATAAAATACGCTCAATGGTCACCCACTTTTCAACAAATTGTCTGGGTAGTTCTTAATGGCTAGTGATTAGAGACTCTGCTTCAATGAATAGCTATTATATAGTACTACATCGGTATAGTAGAGAATTTTTGGGGTAAGCTATTTTAAAGGCCAAAAATTTCGTTCCAAACACGGAAAAAAGCCAAATTTTATGAAATACGCATTGGGGTACCCACTTTCAGGCCCATTGTTTCTGTAGTTCTTACTGGCTAGGGATTAGAAACTCTGCTTCGATGAATAGCTATTATATAGTACTACATCGGGAGGGTAAAGAATTTTTTAAGTAAGCATTCTTTAAGGCCGAAAATTTCGTCCGAAATATGGAAATAAAGCCAAATTCGATAAAATACGCTCTAGGATCACACACTTTCCAACCAATCATCTGGCTAGTTCTTAATGGCTAGGGATTATAGAATCTGCTTCAATGAATAGCTACCGGTATTATAAAGTACTACATTGGGATAGTAGTGAATTTCTGGGGTAAGCATTCTTAAAGGCCGAAAATTTCGTTCGAAACACGGAAAAAAGCCAAATTCGATGAAATACGCATTGAGGTACCCACTTTCCGACCCATTAATTTGGTAGTTCTTTATGGCTAGGGATTATAGACTCTGCTCTGATAAATAGCTATTGGATAGTACTACAACGGGAGGGTAAAGAATTTATGGGGTACGCTTTCTTAAAGGCCCAACATTTCGTTCGAAACACGGAAATAAAGCCAAATTCGACAAAATACGCTCTAGGGTCACCCACTTTCCAACCAATTGTCTGGGTAGTTCTTTATGGCTAGGGATTAAAAACTCTGCTTCAATGAACAGCTATT